GCCGACAATTGACCTATTTGATATGATAAAAATATATTTAATTATAGATATAGGTATACATTTGGGTGCTACAAGGGCAACAAAAGCTTATCGTAAAAGAATATTAATTTGTGAAATAGAAATGGAAATCTTTACTGTTTTAGTTTCTTTGTACCCCCTTTTTGTATTGCTTTATGTTGTTATACTGCAATATTAAACTTTTTTTATTTTTAAAATACATTTTCAATAAAATTATGTGATTAAATTAATTTAAACAAGTATTTTTAATTATATTTAATGATTAATAATTCGTTTTAGTAAATTAAATTTACTTAACTTTAAAATAAACGGACGCTTAAACTTTTGTTTTTCCAAAGAAGATATTAAAATTAGAATCAGCTTGAGATTAGTTCAGATTTTGAAATTATAATTATGATTTTGAATTTTATTTTAAAATAGAACCTCGATTTTATAACTTAATTGTACAGAACTTTAATAAAATTTTTTTTTTTTATATTTTTAACTTTTAATCTCTATATTATTCAAAACTTTATTCCATATTCTATGATTATTATTATTTTCATTTTTACTGTCATTATTATTATTGACGCCTATATTACTAGAAACTGTAATTATTATTATCACTATTAATCATTTTTACTACAATAATCTTTATTTCTGTTGTTATTATTATTTTTATTATTGACAGTCATTGTCTTCGTTAGTATATTATTGTTCTCATTTTATCGTCCATCAATATAATTATTATTTTTATTATTATTAATCTTTTATTTTATTATTGTTACTACTACTAATAATAATAATATGAAATATTTGTTGTTGTCATTTGTTCACCATTGTAGATGTTTCTGCTCATTAGTCGTGTTCCATCCCATTACTCCTTATTTTCATCATTATGTGTCATTTCATAGGTAAATTAAAAACATTTTATTTATCAAACTCAATATGATTTAACCCATTCCTAATTTGTTAAAAGTGACACAATAAAAATAATATTTAACTTAAAATTATAATCTTATAGTTTAATTACTTACACAATATAAACATTAAAGTATGATAATAAAACAATTATATTTTTGACAGAAAAATACATTAAAATATAAACATAAATTTAACACAGATTATACCTAATTACATTAAAATAAATATAAATTAATATTCATAACATTGAACAGACGTTAAATTAGATGAATCGTACGTGTGATGGAGTGATCTAAGCAATAATATCACCAAATCATTGGCCTCTGTTACTTTTTTTTTCTTCCCTCTCTGTGACACCACAAGCTTTTCTCACACGCACGTTCCCACTTGGTAGGAAATAGGAAATGGTCATTATACAACAAAGACAACTTTTCCGTATGCTTGTTCCTTGTTCAACAATAATAACGTATGTCTACACTGTTCTCTCATACCCATTTTAATATATATTTTCTATTGCTTCAAATGTTAATGGTTTCTTGATGTTTCCTCCTTCACATGCCAACTAGGGATTAAAATAATGTTTTCTATTTAACAAACTAACCAAGTCATCAAAATATTGTCTGACTATACATTTTTTGATGCATGATAACTTGAAATATTCGTATTACCCAAGCTTCTTCGTACATAGATATGTTTATTTAAAATAAAAATATCAAAAGCTTAACCTTACATTTCGTCAGAGAGAAAACATGTGGAACCTGTTGTATTTGTACCAAACAAGGACTGAATATGGTAATAGATGCTCAAAACCCTATTTTGAAGATAAACCTCTAATCCTTACCGAGAAATGTTAGTAAATACAGTTTTTACGATTTTTTTAATACATTACTGTTAATTAAAAGTTATTGAGATTCATTGAATTGTATGTCCTTCCTTTTATTTAATGAATCTTGTAAGTGGTTATGTCAATTTTATAAATTTCAAAAAATAAGTAAAAAATATACCATTAACATTTTTCAATCTCTATTTGTACCATTGAGTTGAACTCAGGCTTGATTCTTTGATGTGGCAACACTTGAATATCTGTTGCTAAATTTGTTGGTGGCTATATAAACCGATAGTCAAATAATTGGAAAGAGAAAAAAATAATATTCTATAAATTATTGAATATAATCAAGTCTGAAACAAGTTTTTGAAAGAAAATGCAAGGTAAACTCCAAAGAGTATAAGAGATTTTCAAGAATAAAATTATTCTATTACTTTCCCTTTATATATATAGAAAAAAGCAGAAGTAAAACTTTAACTACGGAAAATTTTAGCATATGTTTTCGTAAAAATATAAAAACAATAAAAGATGTCTTCACTTTAGTGAGACCTGTAATTCTATTGTGTAGAAAAAGATGAATAGGCAAAGTTATCAAGTATATCTATTCTTATTAATGTCATATGTCTACTATCACACCTTAAGATCTCTTTAAGTGACTTTTAACTAAAATACTTTTTTTTCTTTTAAAACTATTTCAATAGTAAGAATATTTTATAAATTTTTTTAGATTGGACTAAGAATAAATATATAAATATGAAAATAAATCCTCAAAGTTACCTTAAGTACTATGTAGTGAAATATTTATTTATTTTTAACTCGTATACCAATATATTTTAGGAATTATTCAGAAGAATAACGCGTTTGTTGGCTACACTTCTTTGACTTGTGTAGAAATCAAACTTAGTTTCACTCTACCTTTTCTTTCGTTTCTATTGAAGCAATTCCTACTCAGTCAATCCATTGTAACTTTAGAATGGAGTTTAGTTAAGAACTGTTAAAGGTAATTTTTCAAATTAGAAGTGTCTGATAAACTCAATTAGCTTAATTTTTTTTATATAACAGATTGATTACAATAATACTCTTTTAATTGTTTGTAAAATTTTTAATAAAAAATACATATTTCAATGGAATTTGTTAAAAAAATATATATGTATAATCCCCAACTTGAAATAACAGAGAATCAACAGGATTCGATTAATTGGGATGAATAAATCTCATTAAAAATAATTTTTTTAATATAACTAAGTCTAAATAATTGCAGTTGGTTTAATCATTGTTTTGTATAGATATGACTCAACCTAACTTGTAATTATTTGTACTATTATGGATATGAATTCTTTTCCTTCACTGGATATGGTCCTATTGTATAAAGAAAGACAAACAAAATTAATAGATGTTACAGTTAATTATGATGAATAATTATTTGATAAAAAATATGTTTTTTATTTTTTAAAAAATCATATCCTACTAATTAAGAAAAAAAATAAGATTTAAATCTTACAATTACCTAAAACTTTTTTAGAACGACATTAACCACCACAACTACATGTGTGCATGGTCGATAACTGAATTATATTTCCAATGAATATTTAGTTTTTAATTATTTAAATCACGGATATTTTTTACAAGAAGCCGTTCAAATTAGTATGTTTTTCTCAATAGTTTTTTATATACAGAAAATAAAAACTCAATTTAATAAAAGATAAATATATAAATTATTAAAACTAAGTGGTGATTAATTATGTAGCAGTGACTAATATTATTAAATTGAGATATATTATGATAAAGATTGTTTATGGATGAGGAGCTATAATTGAAATTTTTGGTGGGAATATTATTATTGTTATTATTATTATTATCTTAGAAGAGGGTCCACATAGAGGACAGAGGCACCGTCTCTAGCACCCTGGTGGCTGGTTTTATCAACTAATCCGTGTGGAGTCTCTCCGAAGGCGAAGGACTTGTCCGTACAGAATCCACGTTGTGATATGCAATTTGTTTACCCACCGATGCCATTATTCACTCGTTTGTCAAACATATCCTTATATGTGTTATAAACCTCAGCTACAATGATAAATATGATGATTCATACTCGCTAGTGGCCCCAACCCCTTAAGTTAGTACATGTCAAGCACTCTTTCTCTCCATCAATAAATGGCTACAATATATTGTTATTGGCGGAGTCTATAATGATGCATCACAAGGGTTGTCCCAATCTGTACCTTGAACCATTCCAAGTCATTCTAAGAAGTTTCATTTTGGACAATGAATGCACAAAACAAACAAGAGAAACCCACTTGAGCAAATGAAACGTCCATTATATTGCAAGCCAAGAGAGGGGAATTATGAAATGAGGGCATTTTCCCTTTTCTTTTCTTTTTTTTTTAAATTTCTATTTTGCTCTTGTTTTTATTTTGGTTTGGATAATGAGAAGGTACTGGGGTGAACCTGGCTAATAAGACAAACTAGAACTTGGCAAGGGCGAATGAGATGAAGCCAAGTGGGGACAAATGAAGAAGGGTAAGAATTTCTTGTTGGATGAGGACGTCCCTTCTTCTTCAATGCCTATCCATGCCTCCAATAAAACTATAGCCCCACAACCCATCCAATTGGAAGGAAAAATATATAATCCCCTTTAAATTCCTTTTTACTAAACATTTGGTTTACCAAGATTCGCCCAACAAATAATAGAGTAGATTTTGATCAAGGACAGGAGTATCGGATCAGACATTTTATCATTTATTGTTAAAGAGAAAAACAGTTTAAATTGAATTGAGGCATGCAATTGCAAGGGAAAGAGAAATAATAGAAGGCATATATATATATATATATATATATATGTGCACAGGAGCAGCAAAGTTCAGGGGGGATGAACCTCACTAAATCAAGGTCCACCCTCCTCATGTGAACCCCATCAACTTGATAATATGTGGGTCCTACCTCACATACAAAGCCCACAACTCAAACATAACACTGAGTCATAAACACACACAGCCTTTCTCTGCTCATCACAACACAACAGATCCAAGACCCCCCATCATCTTCTCCTTTTTACCCCCTTCCATTCCTTACAGTCCCCACTTTCACACCATGAATCTTCCTACTCCCTTACCTTCCATCCCCATTTCAGTTGACCCACACCACACCATACCCACATATCCCCATATCCCAAATATTATTATTATTATTATTATACAAAAATTAATTAAACAACTAGTTATTAATACCACCTCATCATTAATAAATTGTCCCAACTAAGCATATTTTTCCTTTTCCACTTAGGATCATAATAAAATAACACATTTACTAGCGACAATTTCCCTCTATATATATTCCATCCTCAAACAACCCCTATTCCCACACAAACATAAACACAACTCACCTTGCTACCTCATAGTCAAACAAACCATAATCCTTCTCTTTTTTTCTTTCTCCCTCCCTTTCTTTCTTTCCTTTCTTAATACCCATACAACATAACAACAACATGGATGCAATTAGTTGCATGGATGAAAGCACCACTACTGAATCACTCTCTATAAGTCTTTCACCCACCACCGCCACGTCATCGGACAAAAAAACTTCTCCGCCGCCGCCCAACACGCTCTGCCGCGTCGGCAGCGGCGCAAGTGCTATCGTCGATCCCGATAGCGGTGGCGGAGGAGGAGCCGAAGCGGAATCGCGGAAGCTTCCGTCGTCCAAGTACAAAGGCGTGGTGCCGCAACCCAACGGCCGGTGGGGCGCGCAGATTTATGAGAAGCACCAGCGCGTGTGGCTCGGAACCTTCAACGAAGAAGACGAGGCCGCGAGAGCCTACGACATCGCCGCGCAACGGTTCCGCGGCAAGGACGCCGTCACGAACTTCAAGCCACTTACCGGCGCCGCCGCTGACGACGGCGAAGACGACGGAGAAGCCGAGTTTCTCAACTCGCATTCCAAGTCCGAGATCGTCGACATGCTGCGGAAGCACACTTACAATGACGAGCTCGAGCAGAGCAAGCGCAGCCGCGGCGTTGTCGGCAGGCGTCGAGGTGGAGGCGGCGCCGCCGGAAACGGAAACTCGATGTCGGGGGCTTGCGCGACGAAGGCGCGTGAGCAACTTTTCGAGAAAGCGGTTACGCCGAGCGACGTTGGGAAGTTGAATCGGTTAGTTATACCGAAACAGCACGCGGAGAAACACTTTCCGTTGCAGAGCGTTAACGGCGTTAGCGCGTCGGCGGCGAAGGGTGTGTTGTTGAACTTCGAAGACGTTGGAGGGAAAGTGTGGCGGTTCCGTTACTCATATTGGAACAGTAGCCAGAGCTATGTGTTGACCAAAGGTTGGAGCCGCTTCGTTAAGGAAAAGAACCTCAAAGCCGGTGACACGGTTTGTTTTCACCGGTCCACTGGACCGGACAAGCAGCTTTATATTGATTGGAAGTCAAGAAACGTTAACGATATCGGTTTGTTCGGACCGGTTGGACCGGTTGTCGAACCGGTTCAGATGGTTCGGCTCTTTGGAGTTAACATTTTGAAACTTCCCGGGTCTGATGCTAATGCTAGTAACAATAATGCTACCGCTATTACTGGGTGTTGCAATGGCAAGAGAAGAGAAATGGAACTATTTTCTTTAGAGTGTAGCAAGAAGCCTAAGATTATTGGTGCTTTGTAACATTAAGTTAGCTTCTTTTCTTTTCTTTTTTCCTTTTTTTCTTTTTGAGTTTTGTGACTGATGAAAGAAAGAATGGGTACGAGACCGGTGGTGTAGTCGCAAGTTGCAAAAGGTGAATTGTATATTACTTAATTAGAAGCTGAAATTAGGTGTAACAAAACTGTACAAGGAAAAAAAAAAAAGGTTTAATTAAGAAGGGGAAAAATAAAGGATAACTGTTTTAATTGTATATGTTGATGGCGTGATCGGGCGACGTGTGAAGTTTCTTTCTTCTTTTTAGTTGTGTGGGGGCAAGGGAAATATGGGACATGGGTTTCGAGAAATATCTGTTGTGTTGAGAAAGAAAAAACAAATATTTTGTTGGTGAATGAAAGGTATAATGCTAACTATGGTTGTGAGTTGATTAATTTTGGTGATATATATTTTGGGTAACCATAATGAGGCATTTTGTCTGGTTGTGAATTTTGTTATGATTATGAATAAAATAGAAAGGAAAGAGGGTTATAGCCTTGGTGCAGGGAGAGGGGGACCCCACAGGAGGCATGGCCTAAGAAAGTGTGAACAAGTTGATAATGAGACATTTGTCCAATAAAGAAAGAGCCTGGTTGGCAAGTGGGCATGGTGATTGTGTTGTGTACACTGTACATACCCACATCGCTTCTAATCTTAAAATCCTTCCCAGTACGTCGCTTTTGGAACGGTCAACTTTACATGAACCTTTGTTTTTGTGGCATCATTCTGCACTACTGCAGAATCTGTAACTCAGATTTTGCTCTAGACATGTTCTTCCCAATATCAATATCGTTTTGAAAACCACCTTAACTATTTTTCGCAACGGACGATTTGATTTGTGATCATTTTTTCTTCAAACTCTACTAGCTAGTGCGCTTATTGTTCATGTCACTTATCTTTTTGTCAAATTTCGGAAAGAATAATGTTGATAGAAATCGGATAAATTATCCGTATTTCTTTGATATACAACATATTCTTATGTTTTTATTCTTCATTATATTCTCCTGCCCGTTTCAGACAACGTGCTTTTGGAATTCCGAACTTTTGTACATACTGCTTTTTCCTCTTTTTCATGTTGGCATGTTGCTTACAAGATTGCTCGTAAATTTAGTCCTGCCTGATATATCATTTTGATGATCTAATGGAATTTATTTATTTTTATTAAAAAAACTCTTTTCTAAATCTATTGGTTTTCAGCTCACGGACTTCGGTTCTAGCACGCATTGAATTCTACGTGCCATAACAATAGTAATCGATTTCTTATTCTGAAACTACTAAAGTCAACACTACTCTAAATGTGCTTAATTCTGTTGTTGAGATTACATAGAGATGTTAATAATAGTTAATTGTGCACTGCTTCTTTTCAAATTTTTTCAAAGTATCTCAATGGTCAAATCTCACTGTCTACGAGTTGATACATCGAACCGAAAGCGACTAAATTAATTTTCGATAATATTATTATTTTTTATTTGGCAAACTACTGTATAATTATTAAACATTAACTATACAAGTCATTAGTGTATGCATTGAGTACTATATATTCTCATACTAATGTAGGACTATGTATTAAATATTATAGGCTTCGAAGCATATCTCTAGCCAGTTGAATTTAATTAATTATTTCTTTTATTTTAAGAAAATATCCTCTCACTGATCAAGTGTGAAATTAATCCTTTCGTTTGAACGTGAGATTTAATCAACTATTAGCAATAATCTTTGGGTTTATTTTTTTATCCTAGTTAATTGGCTGCCCTTGTGAATTGTGCCTAACTCTTACCATTAAACTGAAGTATACCAATAGTCAAATGTCTGGCAAAAACGAGAATAAATAAAATTATTGAAGATATATTATTTTTAAGCCCTCGTTTTAGTGGTTCATTTTCACATTTTTTTGTATGAAATGCAAAACTATAACGTTAAGTGTAAACTTCATTTTCTTTACTAATATTTTTTTATAAAATATAAGATTGATTAATTTTAAAAGTTTTTATAAATATATTAGTTTATAAAATTTTATATAAAAATAAAATTAATGAATAATTCATCTCTTTTTTTATTTGTTAACAAATATTATTCTTTTAAAAATATAAATATATTAAATTTTAAATAACATATTTATGAATATCTAAATTATGTAAAATTTAATAATATAATATAAATAATAAATAGTATATGTTTCACATTCACATTACAAGCATTCTATTTATCTTATACTACAAATGTTGGTAAAGTTACAGCTGACAAAACAAGTTAAGAACGCTACTTGTGAATCTTGTGGGTGTGTTTGGGGGAGGGGGAGGACCCAAGTGTCTTAGCTAGTTAACGTGACAATGTTGTTGCCTAAAAATAACGTTGACAATGTTTTAGTCAAACCCAAGATTATGAACAAATACCTACGTCATTAGTTAAAGTTGACAGCCTTCCAAAATTTATATTTTATTTGCTACAACGATTTTTTTTTTCTTATAGATAGTAGATAATAATGCAATACAGTGTATGCATACTGTTGAAATTTATTTTAAATTGTAATGAGTGATCAATTTGCCAGCATCCCAGCACCTTCCTTACAGCTTCCATAAGCAGTTCACAGGAAGTCATAACCCTAACAAATGTCCCTTTGTTTTATTATGATTTTTTAATAACTTAATTTTGCAGTTGATGTACTTCCACACGTTACATAACATCATGATATCAAAATTGATCACTTGTTATATTTTTATTTTGGGTAGCATAATAATCGGAATTAATTAATTAGACAACTCTCAACAACCTTCAATGGCAATAAATATAATAAAGAAAACCAGCTGAAAATAAAATTTTGTAATTAATATTAACTTAAACAAATGTTAGAACAATCCAAGTGCGGAGTCTGTAGATGCAAAACACTATATATGCATGATTGTAAACCTCTTGCTTTGCCCTTAATCCACGAGTTTGAGTTTCTGGATCATGTTGATGCTAGTCCAATGTATACCAAATTTCTCAATAAAAGCTTAATGGAATTATGAGGAAAGTTATGGTGAATAATGTTTGTGTATACAGTTCAATTACCCATCTTTGTATAGTTAGTTTTAATCATGCTTTGACCATAAACTAAACTGGGTCAACTAATTGAATTATGATTCGGAGATTTTGCAGATGGATCAACATTTAAAATATTGATATGTAAGTAGACAGAGTTAGTTTAAATAAAATAGACTTTAAATACTCAGAAAGAAAGAGAACTTTATAATAATATTATTTAACTTGAACATAAATTTTTTTTTTAGGATAATTGTGATTTAAAAAAAACTTAAAATTGTAAAATGTTAATAAAACATTTAAAAATCAGACGCGTATTGAATAATTGACATCGAAATCAAAAGAGAATGTTTTTAAGTTACTCTTTAATATAGACGATAATTTTGAGTGGTGAGAGATATATATGCAGTAACAGTGTGCGTAATAAATGAAATTAAAGGTAGAAATTTTGGTGATTAAATGTCAACGGCAATCAATGACTATTCCTATGGAAACAGATACAATAGCACCAAAGTGATCATGTGAAGATTTATTTATTTATTTATTAAGTAAACGGTATAAATATATTATGTTGAATGAACTCAATTAATTTTGAGAGAATAGTCATCCCATCATTTAATTTGATCAAGCAGACATAATGCATTAAAAAAATTCAGAAAAAGAAGCACAAGCCTTGCAATGCAATAAAAAGAAAATCAAGACATGAAGTAAAAACTCAAACTTGAAATATAAGCTTATGTTTAAAAAAAAGTTATAAAATGTATAAATTATAAGTCAAAACTAATTGAAACTTGAAAAAGAGTGTTAAATAATAATAAAAATTACATTAATAAACAAATAACATATTAAAAATATCAATCAAAGAGTTATGAGGGTAACTTGTTGAATGACATTTTAAATAAATAAATAACATTTTTAATATGCATTAAAAATAAAAATATACATCAACAATATTTTTTAAAGAACATTAAACTTTAAAATATCAAATGTTTATCTAATAAATATTTAAAACAAAAGACAACATGTGTTTGAAATAATTGATGACTTGTAATATAATATTTGTATGAGAAATTTTAAAACAACATATTATTAAATTTATTTAATTTTATCTACATCTTTATTTTATAAACATAAATTTAAAAATTGAATTATATAATTTAATTCAAATTACACGTAATTAAACTATATTGAATTTAATGTTACATTTAAACCAATTCAAACCAAATTGTAGTATATTCTTTTATTTGTAAAAATGAAATTTATTTTTCTCAAAATTAATCTAACCCAATCCACAGACACCCATTTTATTTAAATTGTACAATTAATAGACTTGATCTTCTTCTGTCCTTGTAGCCTTTCTCTGACGCGATTAATGGAATTAAACTTTAACATGAAGGATTAATGGTGTGTGACCTTTTGGGCAACTACAAAGCATGCATTTGAGGTCCCACCTTCATTCTTTTTCTACTTAGTTTCTTCATTTCATTTACATCTTCTTACAACTGCCCATTTGCCATCATATTACGTTGAACAATTTTTAAGTTGAATATTTCAATCTTCAGCAGCATGCCAGTTATTGTACCGTATTAGACTTGTTTCTCATTTAAGTTTTAATTGTTCATAGGGGGAATTATCAACGTTCATTAAGTTTTATTGCCTTTTCTTTTTATGTAATTTTAATGAGATATTAAATGTTTTTACTAAATTTAAAAAGATTAAATGAAACTTGTTAAGCCACGTGTGTGTTAGAAAAATTTATACCCAAGTAATTTTTTCATAATCAATATCCTTACAAGTTTAATATAACAAATCCGATTCTACAAAATATTAATCATTAGTCACTAAAGTGTGTTATTCTAAATTTTCCATTAATATTTTTCGCCCATTTAAATTTCTTGACAACTTTACATGTCTTCTATCAACTACGCTTCTTCCTTTTCACACACGCATATATATGAATTTTTCAACTATCTTTCTGAAAAAGAGAGGAATATTAATGTTTAATAGTGCGTGCAGTTGTAATTATAAACATGTAAGTTCCGTCACGATAACAAATTTTAAATTGTTCAAAAGAAATGTCCATTGTATTTGTTTGAAAGAGTCCTTAAGAGTGATGTTTTTCCTTTGGACATAAAATAGACACTATAAGTTCCATTTTTGTTTTTAAAGAAATAACTTGATACAAATTTTACATATAAATATATTAAAGATTATTTTTTAAAGACAAATATATCATCATAATAAATATAATCTCGAAGATTTTTCTTTTGTAAACCAGATTAGCTGCGTTTATTGTTGTGATTTATTGACAGCCACCAGTATTATTCTTTTTCTGTATTTTTTTTTCAAACGTTTTATATTAGCTTTCAATTATGCCAAAGGCTTAAGCATGAAATTGCTGCATGAACAGCTACCTCTTATTTATGAAGTGATGTTGCATGACTATGACTTTATGAATCCTTTTCATTCCCTATAGTGAGTTAAAGTTGATTGCGATGCATAATGCAGAAACAATAGGGTTCAGTGCATAGAATATAAGAAAATTTATATAAGTTTTCAAATAAAATTGTCTTCAAAGAAAACAAATTATGATGTAATTATCTTTAAACTTTTAGAGTTTTTTTTTTTTTGTTTCTAAATAGGTTCTTAAGATTTGTAAGCGGGCCAATCTCTCTCAGATTTTCTGAGCCCATAAGCCCATTTATTTCTGTGTTATACTATTTATTTTTTTTTCAAAATCCTGAAAACCCCTCTAACTCTGTTATCCTTTCTCCAACACGCACACTTCGCTACTAAGAATGGCGTTTGCTGCTTCGCTCGCTCACAACGCATTTCTGAAATTGCCAACGTCGTTTCATGGCGAAGCACCGCCGTTTTCGTCAATTTCTTCATCCTTCATTGGTTCTCCGCTTACCTTCTCGCTCTCCACTACCCTTCCCGGTTCGACAATTGCCATTTTCCGAATATTCATCTTCATTTTTTCAACCATAAGTAAATAAATAAAATGAATTCATACGAATGGTTTTTCTATGTTCCAGGGAACCAACAACTTTCCAGAAAGCAATTTGTGGTTTTGGCGAGGAAGATTACAGGGTTGGATGAGGCCATGAATATCAGAAGGTAACTCAATGCCTCATCTATGATGGACTTTTGTTGTTGTTTTGTTTTTGTTGTATTCTAGTGGCTACATCACTTGATTTTAAACCTTCACTGTGTTATGTATTTTTAGAGTGTTGGCTTGTTGTTAGTCTTCTACCAATTGTTTGTCGGTCAACAAGGTGACTCTTGATGAGAGACAAATTATGTTCTATTATAAATGAAACCGAAGACCCTTTTGAAAGCTGGTTATGAACTAAAAAGTAACTAAGTGTTTTAAACAAACATGCCTTTCAAATGAAACAAGGTGAAAGTACCCAAAGGCGTAAGCAGTAAGTCCAACAAACCAATTGAAGCTAATGCCATCATAGATAGTCATTAAATTCGTTGTTATTTTTTCTAAGAAACTTCTCGTTGTGTTGGCAATCTGTCAGCTTCTTATCGCCGTAGTCTCTATATGATGCTTTAGTAGTTTCTTATTTCTATTTGCTTTGGTTGCATTCTCAACACCACAATATCTACACTTTTAATTGGAAATTAGGGGGGAAAACATGATTTAGAAAAATATGTGGGTTGGGTTGTGTGAGTTGGGAAAGTTTCAACTTGGAACTGGAATTATTTTCTGCAGGATAAGTTTTTTAAAACCAACTCATGAATCAAAACTGTCTCACCATTTGTGGGTTGGGTTGAATTAAAACCCATTGAATTGTGGGTTAAACCAACCAGGTGAACACTTTTGTTTTGAGAATTTTTAGTTTATGTACTCAATGATGAATTGTAATTGCTTGGCATACCATATTTGGGTGTAAATGTTTGATGGATCGTATGAATTCTTAATTTTTATATACATAAGTGGAAATGGATATTTTCCAGTATTTAGATATTTGATAATCTGAAGTAGTAGTTGTTTGTGTTAGATGTTGAATTGTAATTGTGTGGTTTGCTGTATGTGGGCAATAAAAATGTCCAAGAGATTTTTTTATCCATAAACTTTGAGAGATCTTAGGGTTGTAAGTTTTTTTTCCTATTTTCTTTCTTGTATTTGCTCGACATCTAGGTGTCTGATCATTTAGGTCTTGGAATATGTGGAATAGATATCAAATCATCTATTATCCCTTCCTCACCTCATTTCTTCATTGCACTGCGATATAAAAATGCTTTCTTCCGAAAATAAATGCTCAAACAAATAATTTCCTTATTTGTGGCTTTGTGCATTTGCTTTCTAATATCCAAATAAAACTTTATTTTTTATTCATAAATAGAAATCAGTTGTTGCAACTTTTATTAATATTCTTACATATTGTCTGGTCATATGAAGAGAACGTGAACTTAAAGTTGTGACAAAGGTTAAGAAAAGGCCTTCATTAAGGCGTGGAAGAGTATCACCAAGTCTTCTTGTTCCTGATCACATACCAAGGCCTCCTTATGTAGGTTCAAATATACTTCCAGAAATTGCAAAGGAGTATCAAATTCATGACTCTGAAGGTATAGCTAAAATGAGGGCTGCATGTGAGCTTGCAGCGCGTGTCTTAAACTTTGCAGGAACTCTGGTTAGGGTAAGATTTTCTCCTTTTGGCATGCTTCCTATGTCATTTATTTACCTGATGTTCACCTAGCAAGATAGTGGTCATTATCATTTTTTTTGTGATTATTTATTCATAATTTAGCACTTCTGGACAAATTTTTGTATGGTACCATTAATGTATGTTAGTGTTTTTTTTTTTTTTTTTCAATTAAACTTAGTATGAAGGGTAATGGTTTTTTCTTACACTTGACACTGGTGCTGATCGTGGTAACTGCTTTTTATTCTTTGTGCTTGAATCAATAACCAATTAACCAGATGCTATAGGTAAATAGTGAAAGTTGGCCTGTTAGTGGAAGGACCAGTGCGTGAACTTGGTGCCAATCGTGCCATATGCCTAGGTTCTCTTGGAAGTGGGTCATGGTGAAAAGTGGTAACTAGCAGGTTATATATGGGTAGGTGATGGAAGTTTGGATGGTGGTTGCGGAAAAATGATTACTATTACAGTCGATTTGACCTGTTTTAGGCAAATGATCTTTCCCCACGAAGATGAGTTTTTATAGTTCTCTTCAAGGGTTATTGTGTAAACTAGTCACTTCTAGCAAACTAATATGCTTATCAGTCTACTATTTGTTTTATTTTTAGTTTGACTGTGAAGTGGAGGAGTTTTGAAACTTGAGATAACTTCCGTCTAATTGTCACCACCCTCGATCTTATATATAGTATAGATCATTACACCAACCTGTTGCTAATTGAAAACATTCTTCTGCAAATCAGTTCTTTCTATCAATTTGAAAGGAGTGTGAAGTTCATAGCTATTGACCAAGCTTGCTTATCACACACTTGTTAGCTTTTGGTTGAGGTAATGGAGACAGAAATTTGAAATACATAGTCCACATGTTATATATATGTCTTGACATATGATTGAAATATAGGATTTGGGTAGGGAGAAGGAAGAATAGATAATGCACTCTGAGCAATATGATATTTAGATTGATAGATATAATACAATTCCCCTAAGCTATAGCTACTATTTATGCCAATAATTAGATCAAACACTAATACTATAGTTCAAGCCAAAGGCTGCAAATACAATGACTAACAATCCAAATATTCTGACTCTGACAAAATAAAATATATCCCAATTTTCATCTGCCATCTGGTCATTTTTATTTAGCTATTGAGATCAATGGTGTTGAAGTGGCAAAACTCAGATTTGACAACTAGTCTGCAATGTAGTTAGATGAAATATAAAGTTTGCAATCTTATAAGACTTAGATATATATTTGAATAGTTTAGACCTTTGGTTGTCTGGTCCCTTGTCCACTAACTTGGATCTAACATACCTTTACTTGAATTTGGGGTTTTGAGGGCAGTGAGAAGACTTTGGGTTCCTTTTGACAGTAGGATGCACCATTGCCTTAAGTGGACCAGAACAATGTCAAAATTTTGATCAGTTAAGAGCATTTTTTGAATGTTTAAGAAATTAAACCAACAAAATTTGGAGTATTTTATCGATAACCTTATTCAAAGTATAACACAACATTTGATATTTTGGTTTGATAAGATAATTTACTTTGCACTGGTTTTTTTAATCTAACTTAATCTTACTTTGTAATGTCAGCCTTCTGTAACAACTAATGAAATTGATAAAGCAGTGCATCAGATGATAATTGATGCTGGTGCTTATCCCTCACCCCTGGGCTATGGTGGGTTTCCGAAAAGTGTGTGCACATCAGTTAATGAGTGCATGTGCCATGGAATACCTGATTCCCGACAGTTACAGGTTTTGTGAGCCTAAAATGCTACTTTTCACTCTATCTTTGGTATGCATATTACTCATAACTGATGACAGTGATATCTTCTGCAGAATGGTGATATTATTAACATTGATGTGACAGTCTACCTGAATGTATGATTCTCACTCCTTTCTAAAATTTTATTTAGGCATAAGTGGTCACAAGTATAGGTTAAATGTATAATGTCCTATCTTCTTGGTCTTGTTAATGCATACAGCTAGAATGGTTAGTTATTTGGGTACCTCTTATACCAGAAGTTGGTCTACAGCTTTTTCTTTTACTTTCTTACTAAGCAAACGTGCTTTAACATGAAGGATTTCTTTACTATTGATAGACATGCATTGGCATTGATGCCAAAAGCTAAAACAAGCAAGCCATTGCTACATTGTTGATACAATGGTCTTTTTTTCGACACAATTTATGCTATTATATTTTGAATTGACTTTTAATATTTTCCTATCAGTTTTCTGATAAAAGGGGTGTTTGGAAGAGCTTAAGAAAATAGCTTGTGGCTTCCATAAGCTCATTTTATCTTACTTCAATAAGCTTCTTGGTATACCTTGTCAAAATAAGCTTTTTCTAAAACTTATTTCCATAAGTTTCATGATCATTTTATGCCATAAGCTCATGAATGTGTTTAATTTAAATTGTTTATCTAAACACACCCATGAAAATAAAACATTTGAAGGAAATGATGGGCAGGTTGATATGAACTCTTGATGATTCAATTGGACAAAAGCTTTTCTCTTTACGTCTGAGTAAACATGAAGATTTTATTTTTAATCTGCTGAAACAGCAGCTAGATGGTGAAGGAATTGCAGTTTATTACTGCATTTCTTTCTCTCCAAATTATTTGCATGTCGGGTATCAGTGGGTATAGTTTTGTTTTTTGCCTAAACATATTTGCTGTGGCCTATACATATTGGACTTTGGGTACCATGCTGGGTACCAATATTCTCTTCTTTTATTGCTTTTAGTGCTAATGACTAAGTTAAACAAATCCAATTCTATGTGCTATGTTAGGGATATCATGGAGACACATCAAAGACATTTTGTTGTGGGGAAGTCAGTGATGAAATGAAAAAGCTTGTTAAGGTAAATAATTGTCAGCTGATTGTGGGGGAAAAAAAATGTGCTGTATTTTTATTTTAATTGTGGCTGGATGGGCTATTATGCTCTATTGAGTATTGATGGCATATTACTTTCTTAATGTATAGGTTTTTTTTCATTATATATTGAATTTAATATCTCATTAAGCAATGCCCATTTTCAGTCATTTAGATTATTCATGAAGCAAGTGTCCTTTATTTGTTGGAAGGTAAATGAAGAGTGCTTGGAGAAAGGAATAGCTGTGTGCAAGGATGGTGCTCCTTTTAGAAAAATTGGAAAGAGAATCAGGTAATTTTTTGGGTTGCATCATAGTTAAATAAAAGACCTTCAGGTTTGTATATATACTGATTACTCCTGCTGACATTGATTATGCATTGCATGTGAAACTTGGTTTCCTTTTATATTTTAACTGGTTGGAGCTTCCAATTGAATGAACCCATTAACATATTCTTCCTACGACAAGCTATAAAAGAAGATTTATATGCTGCTTCAATCTTTTAAATTACCAAACTATTTCGAAACAAGTTCAAAGCACAGTAGTGGATTAATATTTTTATTGTGTATATTACTCAGAAGACTCTTATTAGGGAGAGAATGAGGAATAAAAAATCCTAGGCACTTAGCAATTAGAAGAGTGTTAGTTAACCCTCATTAGTAGTTAGTTAGTTACATTAGTGAGTTAGTTAGTCAGGACTCAGGAGATTTTGAGGGTTTGCATCTCCCAATGCCAAAGGAATAAATATTTGGCATAATGACAAACAATTTTTAGCATAAAGGCCAATGATACCTAGTGTCCTCCATTTATAACTGTCCCCAGTGGGATACTCAATCTAGCCTTGTTCTTTCGATTGTGTACAATTGGCACCTGTACGTGATTGAGTTTTCTAATTTCATGTTTTGAGCTATAGTCATTAATTATACATCTGTCTATTTCTAGGTTCTCTGAACAATTATTGTTTGTATTAATTGATGATGTGATCTGCAACTGATGGCTTATTCTATATATATTTTTAAGCATTTTCTTTTCTTTTTCTCAGTGAGCATGCTGAAAAGTTTGGCTACGGTGTAGTGGAGCGTTTTGTTGGGCATGGTGTGGGAACAGTGTTCCATTCTGAACCGATTATTTTACATCATCGTAAGTGACTTATCAACTTATATAATTTCTTCATCATATGGCTTTTTCACGTAGTGATTGCTTGGTTTTTGTTTGTATGGATTTTTCATGTTTAGTATGCTTTTCTAAATGACAACCTGTTATAATTCACATTCATAGGTTCATTTTCCTTTGACAATATGCTAATAATTGCTACTTAACTGCATTATTTGTGTTAGTGTGTTTTTCGAGGTGTGCATGGTTAGAAATTGGTTTTTAAACCAAATCTTGTTTTTTCAACTTTTTTTTACGAAATCCAGTTTTGAAACTGGTTCAAAATCGGCTTTCAAAACCAGTATACTGAACTGTTTTCTTAAAAAAAGAAAGCCAGTTTACATATTCTCCTGAATATTATTATTTTGTATTTTATCTTTTTTCATGTGTCCACTCATCCACCGTAACAATTTTATTTCTGTCACTCTCATTTTCTTATCATGTTGTTCTTTTAAGACCCATATAGGATAGCTTTTAAAAAAATGCGGAAGACGAAAATTTGCTTGGCTAAACAAATTGAAAAGACTGTATTTTCAACTTCGTCAAACCATTACCCCACCAAGCCCATTTCATTTGAAAACATCTTAAACTTGTTTTGCTTTTCAATTTTTAAAACACTAAACAAAAGCAAATTTTATAAACAATTTTATTTAAAAGTAAAAAAAATAAAAAATTAAAATTTCAGGCAAGCCCTTAGTTCTTGACGATATATATTTTTTGTCAAGTAACCTCTATATTCTAACAAGGGACAAAGAAAAATCTTCTACACGGCTTACCTTCCCTCCCTTGTTCCCTCTTGTTTCACTCTTTGTTATGTGAGGGTTCTGGAAGTAGGAGGTAGTCTTATACTAATATTTCCTAACATACTTTTAATTTACATCATCGGTTGACAGGGAATGACAAGACTGGTTGCATGGTTGAAGGTCAAACTTTTACAATTGGTAAGTGCATTTTTAATTTGTACGTAGAATTGTAGGTGATTGCTGCGACCTTTTCTTTGTCATGCTGCTTCACGTATTACTTTCTGTTATGTCTAGAACACTGAATTTGTGGTAGGCCTGACCACAATTTGTGCAGTAATTTGAATTAATTCTTTGCTTTGGAATAAGTTATACGTACAATGGAAGTTTTGCTTGGTATTGCACTAAGTTGTTGAAAGAATTGATTGGCAACGACATGTTAGGTTTAAGAAAATATATTTCTATTTTCTGTTTCACTATTACTTACAAAATTGCCAAAATATTTTCACATTTGGGCATGCTGTCTTCGTTCTACGAATCTATGCTTCTAAAGCATTTTCTTTAGATTCATCATCAGTTCTACTTGGTTATCAAAAACACAAACAGTACATCATAATTCATAATCCAAGTAATCCTTGTGCAATAATATTTTGGTGTCTTTACCCCACCCCCAACATGTATTTATCATGATTTTGAAATTAATTATGAAAGAAAGTCAACAAAGACGTGATGACAATTACGTTTGTGCTTGGCTTCTGATAAAAATAACTAGCTAACTCATTTGCCATTCAAGTTTAAATTCTCTTTCGTTCTGAATTTCTATTGGAACTGGATGTTTTTTTAGTTGCTTGCTAAGGTATTGCTGAAGCTGGGTATTTATAAGTTTTGAAATTGAATGATCCCTTGAAAATTCCACATAAAACTGCAGAGCCTATTCTTACAATGGGAAGCACTGATTGCATCACCTGGCCAGACAACTGGACAACGTTAACAGCTGATGGCAGCCTGGCTGCTCAGTGTGAGCATACCATTTTGATAACTAGGACTGGAGCTGAAATTTTGACTACATGTTGACATGGTATTTTTTTTTTTTAAATTCAGAATGATTATTTTATGATATCTGATTAGTGTTTGTATTGTATATAAGTTGTAAATATCTGCCTTGAAATCAAATTGCTTCCGGTTCTGGAGAATTAATTATGCACAGACAGGTAAAGATTGCCTAGAAGAGCTGTATATCAAATTTTCTTGTGCATTATAATTTTCATATATGAACTCACCAGATATAAAGACACAGATTAAGCAGTACTTGTTTCTATCAGCAAAGACAAGGTTACAGTAATTCGTTAGGGAGACTTGGTCAGATAAATGTCTAATTGAAAGCTGCATTCGTAGTATGATTTAGGCTGCGAGAACTGTTGGTCGTTGTTCAAGATAAAAGTTTTATTGGAAATATAGATACGCGATGGAAATACTTGATTTCGTGTGGAAAGTGTTGAGCTTAGATTTCGCTTGAAGTGGTGTAGATACGCCATCGGAATATTTGATAAAACTGAACTGGACGAGCTTTTGTCATGATAAATTTCAGGTTGTTGACATAAACAAAGTCTTTCATGCCATACGGTAATAAGCCCAGGACCCGGCCTAGAGAAATATAGATACTTGCATAAAGTATGTTGTGTTATTCTATAAATTTATCCCATGACTATGGGTCGGAAATAAGTTTAATTGAGTTTTATTTGAAGTTGCATATCTTGTTTTAATGTTTTGCACATCATTTCAGCATCAATTAGGGACAACCGAATCTCATATGGAACAATGTAATTTATTGACATTTAATTACTTTCTTAAAGGGTCAATCAATTGCTATTTTTAATTACATGAAGACCAAAACGAATCTAGGGGCCGTGTAATGTACAAAATTATATATATTAGAATATGGTATAGCAGCCCCAAAGAACAGTGACCCTTCTGCTAAATGTGATGTGTCCTAATAATTAATTTTATTTTAAATTGACCATTAAATACAGCCACTTGCACATATATAATATAGTTTTCCTGAAATTTTGGCTAAACCTTTCGTTTTACTAGTTAGCTAGGAGGAAAGAACGCAGCAGATGCAAAGCCTTTATTTTTATCCATGAGGAAAAGGACCAGGAAAGAAATAATTGAAATGGGGAAAAGAAAATGAAAAAAAAAAAAAAGGTTTCCATTTGAGAAAAGGAGAGCACTCGCAGGCCTCGTTTGCTTACCATTGCTCCACACATCCACGTGTTAAAACTCATTCTCTGTTTTTTACTTTTATAAAGCTCCTTTAACTAGTCATTCTTTTACCAGTTCCTCAATCATCACCATCGATGGCCTCCATGAGTTCTCTGAAAATGGTTCCTTCCCTCAAACTCTCTCATCCATGTTCTCTCTCTCCTCTTCAAACCCAAAAACAAGTAGGTTCTAGTCTCTGTCAGTCCTTCCCAGCCAAAATTTTAAAATTCTCAGCTACCCCACAAGTATATACAACCAGAAGAAGTTCCAAGAACACCACAACCACAGCATTCTTCTTCAATACCTCAAAGCAGCATCCAGATTCTTCAAAGCCAGGTAAGTTCTTTCCAGATCTCTGCAGATAATCTACTCCAAGCCCACTTTTCAATGGCCTTGATCATGTCAAAAATTACAATTTCCCTCTTTGAGTAGCATTTTCTAAGCATAATTTGTTTGATAGCTAGCATTTCTTATTCATGTATTTGTTGATTTCTCTAGCTGAAGTTCAAGAACTCCATGTTTATGAGATCAATGAACGTGACAGAGGCAGTCCTGCATACCTTAAGCTAAGCCAGAAGCCTGTTAACTCTCTTGGAGATTTGGTGCCTTTCAGCAACAAGATATACTCTGGAAACTTGGAAAAGAGACTAGGGATAACTGCAGGCTTATGTGTGCTCATCCAGCATGTTCCTGAGAAAAAGGGTGACAGATATGAGGCCATTTACAGCTTCTACTTTGGAGAGTATGGTCACATATCAGTTCAAGGAGCTTATCTGACATACCAAGACACATATCTGGCTGCAACAGGAGGCTCCGGAATCTTTGAAGGTGTGTCTGGTCAGGTTAAACTTAAACAACTTGTGTTCCCATTCAAGTTGTTCTACACCTTCTACTTGAAAGGTATTCCTGATTTGCCAGCTGAGCTACTAGGGAAGCCTGTTGAACCATCACCAAATGTTGAGCCATCTCCAGCTGCTAAGGCTGCTGAGCCTCATGCCTCTATACCAAATTTCACCAACTGATACTCCAATTGAGCCTTTTTTTCCTCCGAAATTTTTAATTTTGAACCCAAAATAAATTTTAGATGTTGCATATTTTGCTATATTAGTCAATCTTCTTTGTTTGTGCTGGACTAGACGTGACTTATGTATTTGCTAGAATAAAAACATTTGTTCTGCAAAATTAATTTTATATCAGTTTTCTTTTGCGGAACTAGATCAGACTACATACAGGCTGACTTAGTGGTAGAACATTCATTGATATTTCAAACCTGATTATGAGTAGGAGGATTTGTAGGCTGAAATAGGATATAGCATTTTTCTATAATAAAATTAACGAAATGTTCCGTCTATCTTCATGTGGCCCTTGTGGGGTAAAATTATTCTTTGATATTATGGACTTAGAAAAAGTATTGCACTTGGTTGATAGAAACAGCAAATGCTAGAAAAATCTCATTTAGATTTAGGTGGAGAAACGTGGTAGGACATAGTTTTAAATGTGGGAAACAACTTCGTTGAAAGGATAATGACATGGAAGGATTACTATAAATAATTAAGGAGGATCATCATCATATCAAAAAATCTTTTCGTCTTTGACTAAAAGTAACGAGATCTTACAAGGGTTAATTTATCGTGTATAATATGCATCTTTTATTTTATTTTTTGTGGAGAAGGGGTTGTGAACTTAATATATGGACATCTATGCTATTAAAAATTTAATTTATTTTTTATTTAAATTGGATCCCATAAAGAGCTACAAATGCAATGGTTGTAATCAACTACACCTTTCGGAAGTCGTGTGTCAGATCTTAGGTATCTCCTCTAGGCCCAGATGTGAGTCAATCACACTATCCAGTCACCACCAATCCTCTTGGAAAAAAGTACTTGAGATGTACACATTCTTGTCCATTGTTTCAACGTATGCTTGAACGCTCGGGGATAATTATAAGTTTCATGTGTAATGATTTCTCGTTCATACTATTCAACACTTCAATTTGGTTTCTCTCTTTCTCTCTCTAAAAAAAATTATATTTTCATCACGTCAGATAATGGGCATTAATAATTGAAACTAAAACTTCTTATCCTTTACCATTAACTCACTTGTAATTACAAATAATTTTTAAATCCATGTCCACATTAATATACTTTTATATAGAAATTAATTGTTACCTTAGCAAATTGTTATTATTATTATTTAAAACTTATGTCACCTATAAAAGAAAATAAAAGTGAAAGACGCGTGTAATAAAAAGGCTATAAATATTATATGTCTCTATCTTCTAAACTCCAATTCTCAATTAAACAAGATTATCAGCTTTCATAGAATGCCCCATTTAATAAGTATCGAAACACCCAAGTCATTGTATGTCTACAGACCACACGTTGTGTGATTCCAAATAGTTGGTCTTAATTTTTCTTTTTTTCAAAACTTGTCTGGTGAGAAAATAAGAGAATTTTTTCAGTCAATTGATCTTGAGTTTAAATTCTAGATTTATTTACTTCAAATATTAGAAAAAGACCTTTACTGTACATAATGATTTTATTGGATTTGAATATGATTGTGTGTGTGAAAGATATATCTGATTTAAATAATTTTCTTTTACCATTCCAATTCTTTATTATCTTGGTCCTTGTGCCCTCCTCTTCCAACCCTTGATCAATTTCATAATTCACATCGATATCGTCAATTGAATATGGTTTTTAGGGTTCCTCTTTGGATCTGGGGTTTCACACCATGAAAGCGTCTTTTTCTTCCAGATGGGTTAGTACAAGAGAAGCAATTGCAAATTGGGTCATTCAAGAAGGGTTACATTTAAGAAGTAGGCCCACTCATTTGAGGTGAGGATTTTCTATAAATAAACCGTAAACCTCTCATTGTTGACACTATAAATGTCAATAGGATTTTATTTTGTTGTCAACGCTATCATTAGGATGGAATTCTGCAAGCAATTACAAGCATCAACAATTAATGGGAGGAACTACAGAATTTAAAGATCAAGGAAAAACGATGTACATGTGAGGGTTGGCGGAGACTGATATTGAATTTGGGTACTGAATGGTGTAAGGGATATGATAGAGCTTTTGCACATTAAGTGTGGTATTGATTTTGTGATGAAAATTCAATTTTCTTTTTTGTATAGGAAACTATTTGGTTTAGTTTTAGGTCTCGAAAACATGTCAATTTGAAACTAATTAAAATTAGTTTGAATGTGATTTCTTTACATGCCAAAATTTACCTTATAATTAAGTCTCACAAAATTTTTGAATTATATGTATTTTAATAGGCTTAATTAATCTACTGAATAAAATCTTTCAATTTAACAGTTGGATCAACAAATTTTAATATGTGTGAAGGATTATCAAGTATAGTAACATCATTAAGAAGTATTCTTGAAGTAATTTGATTTTTACCTCCTCCCTCCCGACATACACACAAGGTGGAGATCGAGTTAGTCTAAGAGCAACTCTTCTGATTGTTAGTTTTATAAATGATTTTTTATAAATATTAAATTTTATTAAGTTAATTATTAAATAATGTGATATTAATATGTTAATTATGCATACCAAATTTTAAGTCAATTAGACAGTAATAATATGTAATTTTAAATTTAACATTTACTTATATTTTAAAAAATTATATTATACATTAAAATAAAATTATTTTTGTTTGTATGAATATCTATTAACTTAGTCTATTCAGTAAGATTTTTTAATTGAATAATTAGATTGATAAAATTTAATAATTAAAAAAATTATTAGGCAAAATAAGAGTAATATATATATATATATATATATATATATATATATATATGTGGATATCTTTAACATTAAAATAAAAAATTAAATCTGACTTATTTTTAAAATGATAAAAAGGAATATATTTTTTTTTTATTTTGATGTGAACACCCACCGGAGAAACGTTCTTTGTTTTCTCTACCTCTTGAATATCCTTGTCGAAAAAAAATCATCTAATAAATATTTCAATCAAATTTACACATTCTTGTGACTAAATGCAAGAAAAAAAAATATATTTATGAGAATATAGATAATAGGAGGAAATGATCGTAAAAAATGAAATTAGGGTTCCACCAAAACCTCATTGAGAAGTGTTGGATAGACAATGTGGAGAGGAGGGAAACACTAAACCAATTGAGTTAGGGTCTCTCTTATGCATAGTGAACATGAAGGAGAGACCCTAACTCAATTGTGATCAAGTTCAAGCAGATCCATACGAGAGGCATTTTTTACTATAAGCTAAATAAAGGTGGTCAATCTTAAATGTTTTAATTTTTTAAATTATGTGCTGATTGATAAAATTAATTTTATTTATGATAAAATTATGCAAATTAATATAGAAAGAAATATAATTTTTTTGATAATTTAGTAAAAATATTTTTAACAAGTAAATTATTTGATATTTAGTTGTCAAAACTGTGATGAGATTAACTTAGCAATAAAACCCCAATTAAAGCAAATAAAGAGGGTGATGAACAGAAAACATGTCACACAGATATAGGTTGAGAAAAACAAGATTGAAATTTGTACAGTGAAAAGCTTCTCTGGCCGCATTTGCCAATTGCATATCTTTACAGAATTCACAGTACAACCACAATTATACCGTACACGCAGCTACTTCTGAATAGCATATGCCATTACAAATATATGGTACCAAACACACACAGATATAGACTTGCAGCCATGACATCAGAATGTATATATATTATATGTATATAATAATCGATATAATCATTGTATTCCATACATTCATCGCGCGTATGTTTTTCCATTGACATGAATTTGTTGTTTAATCTCGTGATAGAACAATTTAACATACACCCTATGCATATGTTAATATTCGGATTGGTTTACAGTTGAAAATTTGATTTCTATATCTTAAAATTAATTAAAGCCGATAGTTTAGATTAATTTAAATTTAAATCGCAAATATATGTTATAGTTTAAAATTAATCTTACTCAACTTTAAAATAAATAATTGCTTTAAAAAGTTATGTATATTTTAAGTTACGGCATGTTAATACTCTTACTTACATGTTAGCCAAGAAGGATTAAGTGACAAGTATGAGAATTTAACTTTAGCATAATATTATAATAAAAAATTTTATACCGTTGACTAATTAGAATGTATTATAAATATATTTTTTAATAAAATCTTATTATATTTTAATATTTAAATCTAATTCTAAGAGTTGAAGTATTGTAATAATATTGTATCATGTACCACAAAATTTAAATAATGGATTCATCACAGTCAATATTAATCCCTATTGAGTACCTTTATTTGGCCGAAGCATTGTTTTGGTATGGAGCTTTGCAGCAGCTTTTGCCATTGAGAGAGGGTGCAGCTACGGTGATATATGAATCCACTATCGTTTCGTAACTCACGGGTTCAATGAGGTTGGAGAAACCGAAAAAAATACAAAGTAAAAGAGATTGAACTTTCAAGTTAATGAGTCATCTCTGACTAATTAACTTTTTAAAAAACAATATATTTTATTACTTTCATTAATGATAGTGTTCCAGCAAAAGAAACACCTTAACACTCAATACTCAAATTATGAGAAAATTTTGATTGTATTGGGAAGGGTACAAAGATACCTAATATATAGTAGGAGTCTTGTCTTCTCTTACTTATAGGCTTCGACTTGCCCTAAACATGTAAAATGTCCATTTTTTCTGGCATAGCGGAATGGAACCATTTTTGTAATTATCATGTTAATTTTGTAATCACGCGCAGCTATACCTTGATTATGGTATGACCCTCAAGGAGTGATTCTATAGATATCACATTGGTCATTATCCTTTTTTAAGATGGGATCATGTCAAAATTATCTCGAGATCATGTGTATGATTGCGACATGACATCCCCACCTGAGGAGTTCGAGATGCCAACAAAAATTCACCGATAATTTAGTTCTTCGCTGTCATAAATTAGAGCTAAGAAAATGAAAGTTTAAAAGAAGAAAATCAACTAGTACACAAAGCTTTGGTCAAACCATGAGAAATAATAATTTTATCTGAACAACGCTAGATGATAGGTGAAGACAACTTTGATGGCGACGACAGTGCAGAGACAACTGAGAATGCTACGAGGATGAAGACAACGTAAAGTTATGGTTTAATTTTAGATTTTGCTCAGAGAATAATCGCTCTAAAATTTAACTTAGAGAGATGTTACATGTACGTTTTCTCTCTGGAACAAAGATTATTCTACAGCTATTAAATCTAAGTAATGTTTAGAGAATGATTCTCAATTCTTATTCAATCGTTATCTAAGTTAACGAATCATAAAATAAAATAAAATAAAATAAAAATCAATAAAACAATTAGATAAATCAATTATAAATAAGCTATTTCTAGTCTAGAATAATTTGTGTTAGATAACATGTAATGCATGTATTAAAAATATTATTTTAAAAAATCATTTTATTTATTTTATCACATTTAATTATTAAGTACGTATTTTTATTTTTAAACAGTACCAAAAATATAAAAAATATTATATAATTTTTTTAGAAGAAGAAACCTAACAGCTGTATATAAAAAATTATTAAATAAAAATATATATTATAAAATTAGTCACATACAATTATTATATATATATATATAATAAAATTTATATTTTAACTATTTTGTTTTATAAAACATTAAAATTAAATATAAAAATTCATAATGCTCACGTATAACTTTCCGTTTTATTAAAAAAAAATTGAAAGTCAAACACAGAAGTGTCGACTTACTACATTTTTAACTTTTTTTATCATAAAAACACGATTATATATTATAAATATGACTTTTATCTTTTAATTAAAAAATAATTATATATAAGAGATATAACATATTTTATTTGTATAAAAAATTGAAATTTATACCAAAAATTACACTAATACGATAAAAAAAAAAGCCATTAATAGATTCCTTTTAAAGTGTCTAAAAGATTAAATTTAACCAGTGGACCATCAGCACACAGAGAAAAAATGAGGAGCTAGCCTTTCCTTGGTAACTCTTTCATTGATTATTGATTAGTTAGCAAAACATTTATTCAAATGGCACGCTTTCAATAACTAACGTACATATCACTTGTGTATTTTTCTAGCCTAATATGCAACTGAAAATTTGTGTATAGTAAAGTAATTACCCATATCAATGGTCTTTTAACAGCCGCTCCTCCAAATAGTTAAAACAATTTGCGTTGTTAGTGGTATCAAGGATGTCTCTGATATAAAAAAAAAAAGTCACTAAATTAAGAGTGTAATTTATATAATTTTTATGATCTTAATAAATTTTAATAATAACAAAAATGTGTTAAAAGAGGGTAAAACTAACACTTATCTTAATGTTTAGTTAATATGTGAAGAAGCTAGTTATTAAATGATGAAAACAGTAAACTGCCTCCTTAACAGGGAACTAAACAATTTAAACGCTAAAGTGGCTGTTAGTCTGAATTGAATCTTTTGCCTCGGATCTTAAACTTATGTCCCTAATACAACTTCATTCTCATCCTATGAGACTCCCTAGTGTTTCTTTTATTCAATGCTTTTGAGAATTGTTTATCCCTCCCCAGTTGCCAGACAAACATTAATTGATGAAAGTTTAACAAGACCCATGAAGTAAAAGCAAAGAGTTTCAATTAGAATATCCAAGCATGCATGCACAGTACTAATGTTTTCCTTTTTTATTATTGTTTTATTTTCCAATCGTTCCATTTTCATCTATTTTCGATCTGCTTTTCATATTACAAAAGAAGAAAGAGGGAAGAAAAAGTATAAAAAGTAGAAGATTGACGTACAAAGCACAGAGACAAAGCCTCGAGCAAAGAACAAAGATCAGAAGGGCCATGCACATGCATTATTATTTCATGAATGATTACCTCTGATTATTATAATGTTATGACGATGAATAATTGAATTGTTGCAGATTTATTACAGATTAAACCCTCATTATAACTTGTCAGATATTTTAACCCATAGCTTTATCAAAAGCCCATTTGAAGTATGTTTCTTGAAAAGACAAAGTTGAGACAAACAAAATAATGACAAAAAAAGAGACAACAAAATGTTATTGATTTTATTTTGTGAAATATTTTTTACGTAAGTGAATATAAAAAGACAAAGAATAAAAGGGATATAAATAATTATAAATAATACTACATATAGTATCAGTTTTTCATATTTAAATAATGGATATCAATTTTATTTTACCCTTCACTTTTAAAATTCACCATTCACTTTAATCTTTAACATAAACAAAAAAGAAGATTAAAAAAAAAGACTAACGTAAATAATTACATTTTCTTAAGTTAAAGATTAAAATACGTACAAGTTTAATAAAGTTAAAAACTAAAACAATTATAGCGCATAAGGATTTATAATAAGCAGTCTCTGAAACACGATACTTCATAAAATATTTTACATTAATAAAAATATTATTAGAATAATTTTTAATATAAATATTTTTAATTTGTTTGAATTTTTTAAAAATAAATTGAGTTTATTTCATTTCTAGCATAATATTAAGACACACGTTCAAGTAAAGTCGATGTATTTGTAGTAAAAAAAATTACCAGTAACATACTATTTTAAACACACTATTTAATACACTATATTTAAATTATTTAATTTATAATTTAATTATTCTTAAAAAATAAGTTAAAAAATTTCTCACTCTAGGAATACTCTTCCATTGACATGCATGGAATATTCTTTGAAAGTATTACATTATTATATGTGTCAACTATCAATATCAGGGAACTAATAATTCAGGAAGCATTAGGCATACAATTACATGATAGAGAAAAGTAATAAGTTATTGGTATTATGTATCGTATTGGGGGAGGGGTTAAAAGGAGAGGTGAGGGGGTAATAATAAGAAGAAAGGAGCTGAAAATGTGTTGGTAGTATGTGTTTGTAGTTGGTCTGAAAAGGCAAAAGGCAGCCCTTTGGGTGAAACCCCAAAAACAGCAACACATAACATAGCAAAGCAGTGGTCCATCTATGACTATGGTTACCTACACACACACTGACACTAGCAATCCATCAAAGGTGAGTTACCAGTGCAGTGCTACTCCATGCTCAGTAAGTATCACTGACCCCTCAAAACAAAATTAAAAACACACACACTTAACATATCTGTCTTTCTCTCTTTCTTTCTCTGCTCAATATCTATGGCAATGCAAATGCAAAGTTTTGAACAGTAGAATCTGTGACTGCCCTTGTCTGCATGTCTGTCTCTCATCTGCAGTCACTGAATACTCTTGACTACCTCTCTCTCTCTCTCTCATTATCACAGAAAAAAGTAGCATGAAAAAGAAAACGTCCTTTAATTAGATAAGACTGCCACTTCTGGCATTAAATGCAAGAACCTTAGCTTTCATTTCACTGTTTGTCTCCATCTTCTCGCACCCTTTCTCTCTCTCACAAACAACAGACAAAGGTTCAGTCTCCATTTCATTAACCCAAATCTTAGTTACAAAATCTAACCTTGTAAATTATAAGCACCGGATCAATGCATTGTCCCACGTCAATTTTTTATATCTCAAAAGTATTCTCAAATCTTCCTTGTTTCTCTTTTAATATACTTTTAATATATTTAGCATCTTTTTCACATTCTCATGATAGGTGATATGATGTAAAAAGTTATATATACAAAAGCTATAAAATATCAACTAAAAGGGATATATACAAAATTTAAACAGCATATATAATTTGTTGTCTCCTTTTACATCTTTCGATTAAACAAATGGACAACACATAGATTAATTTTTTATATTATTATCATAACGAATTCTCCAGTTGAATATGACATGCATGTAAATATTGATTTGAAATTCTGTGATCCATATATAATGAAAACTCACTATCATTAATTTGTACAAAGAACTTAAGAATAGAAAATTGATACGAAAGCAACAGATCCGTGTTTTATTTTTGAAAGTAACACTTCAACAAAAAGAAGCTATTAACTTAAAAAACGAGTCATACTTTTAATTGCATGAAACTTTCAATTAGGCAATAAGAAAGGAGAGAGAACAAGAGAACAAGAACAGAGAGGAACCATTTCCAAACTAACACCTATTTCGTATTAATTAAAACCAAAAACCACTTCACTATTATTATTACTATCATCTTCATCTTCTTCATCTAATTCTAAGTCCTCATCATCTTCATCACCTAATAATTCGTCTTCTCCCATTTGATCACAACTCTCCACAGTGTGTGGAGCGTGACCATCACCAAAGGCACGAACATGGTCTTTGAGAGACCTCTTGTGCTTGAAATCAGAGCCACAGATGCAAAACCAAAGCTTCCCACAATTCTTCTCGTGTGTTCTCCAATCCCCTCTTACAGCAAATGGTTTCCCACACTTCCTACACCCAAATGGCTTTGCTCCATGCTTTCTCTTGTAGTGTGTCTGAAGTGTCCTAAAATCCTTCAATGGCCTTGACCTTGGATGATCTATGTTGTTCTTGCACCCCTCAGCACAACAATAGCAAGGAAGCCTTAGCATTGAAGAAGCTGGCTTTGCCCCTCTCAATGATTCAGGCCCTTTCCTATATTGTGACCCGTGTCCCCACATATGCATCTGCCATGTAGAAACGCATTAGGGAAATTTGTATGTGACATTAATTAACACACTATGCTCCTCCTTCAAAAGAAAATAGTAAAGTGCAACCAAAATGAAAATATATTTGTGCTCTTAGAAATGGTTTTTTTTCCCTTACGCTTTTGAATAATGATGCTTCACACAATTTTAAGGGGTAAAATGTGCTAAATTGAAAAGTGATGATTACATATGAAGAAAATGGATTTGTGGTTAGTTTGTGACTTTACAGTGATACCTTCCTGGTGTGTAGAATGGCTAATTATGCCTCTTAGCCATTGTCATGTATTAAACAAAACTTCATTTGGATAAGGGCTTATTAGGCAGTGTGGAGTGATTTTGTTCAATTAGGATGTTTTTACGCTGAACAATTTTATATAAATATGTATAGGGCACCTTCGATACTCGATTATCAATAAAATTTTTCTCTTATTAAAAAAAATACATGTGTGAAGAAAAGGGAAGAATTATAGATAGATAGATATGTAAAGAGAGTGTGAAAAAGTAAGAAAAAATTCTGCAGTATATTAATTACTTTTTATTCATAAAAAAAAAAAAATCAACGAAGGATGATAAATGATGTCAAGTTTGACCTTTACTGGAATGTAACGATTACTTGTTTCTTCTATATTTAAATCCTTGATCATAGAAAAGAAAGCAAGTAATGTTTCTTACTTCCTTTCTTCCAAACTTTTTACCTAAGTCTAATAAATGCTTATGAAGTCATGTTGGGCTAGTTATATATACTTCACTTTTTCTTTTCTTTTCTTTTTTTCTTCTTTTTTTCAGTGTTATTGACAGACCTGCATGTTGTTGAATCGGTTGAACATTTTGTTGCAAACAGTGCAAGAGAACTGGGTGGGTCCAATGAGGATTTGAGCAGGAGAAGGGATCCAATATTGACCCTGAATGGGAGTAGAAGCCAAATGAAGATCATGAGGTTTGGTAGTGGGGTGGTTGGTGCTGTTTGGTGAAGTAGTGGGATTGGGAAGGCCAATGTGAAGGGCAACAGTTACACCACTTTGGTCTTCAGAGGTAGGGTTTTGCTGGTGATGATGGTGCAGAGTAGAAGGGTGGTTTGAGAAGGAGGAAGAGACTTTGGGGTTGTGTTGTTGGCCAGGAGGGCCAAGAGAGAGGGAGATGGAGGCTTCATCAACTACAGCTTCATGATCATGATCAGGTTCTAAGAAGGCACTTCTTGGACAAGAGGGTATGTAGGAGAAAGGGTGAGTTTGCATGGTGAGAGGTATGGTTGATGGGATGGTGTAATATTATATGATATGTTGAGAGAGAGAGAGAGAGAGAGAGAGAGAGAAAGGGAGGGTAGTAGCTAGCTAGGAGAGAGTAGAGTGAGTAAGGGGGAGAGAGAGAGAGGAGGGGGAGGGGGAGTTTTTTTTTTGGTGTGCTGTGGTGTGTGTGTGAGTGTGTGTGAGATGGGTTAGTGGGGACGAGAAAGGCAATGTATAAATAAACAAATCTTGTGGATGTTAGTTTTGGCTTTTGGCATTTGAAGAACATTGCAAAAGAGTAATTCCAAGCGATAAAGTGTAGTTTATTGTACACACTTAAAATCAACATTAATTAATATTTAACAAGCATAAAAATAATTAAAACTTTGATTTGATATGTATCTAGCTATATACGTAGTTCCTTCAATTTGTTTGATATCATATATCAGACTTGTTTGTGTAATGGTCTCATGGAATAGAGAAGATGGAGAGGGAGAGAGAAGATGTGTGTGTGCACGTGGAATGAAGGGAAATTGGTGATATGATGTGTTTTGGCGTGGCATGGGAATGGAGGAGACACAGCACCGGCAAAGGAGGAAAGGGAAAGAGCGGCAATGAGGCAAAGAAGGATGCAATGCATAGAACAGCGCACCAATAATACGACACCAGTAGCAGCAGTGCCATTCCCTCTTCACTTCTCTCCCTCCCACACACCGCATACAAGGATACATCTTATGTCTTTCTTTTTCAAAAACCTTAAATCATTATCTTAAAATAAGAGTTATCATGTTCATATAATTCTCTCATATTTTTACTTATATTGGTAAAAAAATATAACAGTATAGTAAATTTTTATTTAAAATAATATAATATCATGGAATTTATTGTACTGATAATATTAAATATTATAATTTTAAAAAAAAATTGTTTATTATATTCTCTCAAGTACATATTAATTTTTTTTCATTTTTCACTCTATCTTTTTTATCATGTCACATTAATTAATTTTTATTTATTTTTATCTTAAGTTATAATTTAATTAACTACTTATTTAATAAAATTTTATAAAAATTTATATCATAAATTTAATCACCAAATTTATTGAAATAAATTAAAAATTATAAATCATAAGTTTTCGATAAGTTCTTCTAGAGTGAATGTATGAAAATACTTTTTTCAAATATAAAGACACTAATGATTTTGGGAACATTTTGAAACATCTTATTTGATGTTATATAAGTGATATATGATAACTTTAATATAACTTATTTTCATAAAACGTTGTAACCGAGCTTATTTAAATAGTTTACAAAGATATGTTTTATATCAAGACAGTTTGAGTTCCTTTGGTAGCCTATGTCAATAAAATTTTATTTTGCTGCGTTAAAAAATGTTTATAAATTAAGACAAAATGTAGATACCATATTTTAGACATTTTATCTCATTTTTTAATAATCAAATTAAAGTTTCACTTTACTGTTTTTAATAATAAAACTGATACTAACAATATATATCAATTATGTACTTGATAGGATACTAGTCAGCTTTAGAAATAAAAGAAGGAAGAATGAATATTCCTTCGACCTTAACAGGACAAGTACTCTGTCAGTCAGATTAAAAAATAATTAAATCAATTAAAATAAATAATTAAATTATTATTTACTTAATTACAAGGCTAAAAATTAAGGTTAATTCACAAAGTCTAATAGCTCATAATATTGTCTATTAAAAAAAGGTAAAAGATTGACTTTTAAATATTAAATAACATTTATTATTTAAATTAACACCTAATTTTATCATTGGAGTACTTTTTACATGTATACCTTTCTACGTCAAAAAAGGATAAACTTTCAACTTTAAGAAGGACGTTATCTAATCTCTTAGTAAGAAGATATTTTAAAGATTAGTATCTCCTTAATATTAATAAATTATAAAAATAAAAATCTATTTTTATTTATAAAAATGAAAAGTAATTAAAGTACGTGTTTGTCCTTTATATTGTAAGAACCAAGGTTTAATATTATACCTCGAAATCTTTGCACCAAACCAAATGCTCGGCTTATGAACTTTTTAATCTTCATGTTGGGTTTCTGATGGTTCTCGTGCTCGCATTTACTCTCTCTCTCAAAAGTGAGAGTGAGTGGGCGATGGCACAGTCCCTTTCCATTTCAGAGAGACACAGAAAAATCACAAAATAAAAAGTGTGTATATTATGAGAACACAGGAAGTAGACATGGAAACTATAGAAGGTGGAGGCGTGTGTGTCTCTCCCCCACTTTGTTATTACCAAAAGGGATAGTGAGAGTGACGCTGACGTTGATAGTGATAGAGATGCTAATGCAATCGAAGTGATAGTTGCACTGTGTAATTAGCATGTAAACCGATACCTTTGTGTCTCTACTATGACTACTCTTATTTCATATCCAGTCACAGAAGGTAAAAAGTGGAATCAAGAATTGATGACTTTAAATTTCATAATGATAAATATTAACTTTTTAAACATACGATTAAAAAATAAAATAAAAAATTATTAAAATTGTTATTTTATTTTGACTATAATTTTGATAATTATTTTTTAATCAATATTTTTAGAATCCTGATTGGAAAGACCAAAAATAAAATGAAATGGTATGAAGGAATTTTGCAAAAGTAATTTATGAAATTTAAAAAAAAAAGTGTTTTTGTAAATTATCTTTTTAGTTTTCTTTTCTCAATCATATTAATTATGAGTTATTTTATAATAAACTTTGCATAAGTATTCCAAACAATGGTCCTGTTAAGAGAGAGTGAAAATGTGTAAATATTCATGTTTATCGTAACGGAAGAAACTAAACTTGTACTGCATATGAATAAAATTTAAAGAGTCAAATCCTCAGATCTAGTTTAAACTTTTTATGAAAACAAAAGGATCTTGAGTTGGATAATGCCATATTAGAGAAGAGCAAGATTTATATTTAGTAAAATATGTATATATCATTTTAAGAGAGAAAATAATAGTGTAGATTTGTTCAATGCCATATAAACTAGCGAAATAATTAGATAAAATTTAAAATCAAGCTGAACACAGTTAGTAGACAACTATGTCCCTCTAGCATAATGATAGGAGTCTAATTTTTTATTATCTGTATGAGAATAATTATTAAAAAAAACAAATTGACTGTCAATAGAAAGATATCCTTGATATCAAAATAAATGAAATAAAAGATGCAATGTTTTTCTCTAATCCTTGAAGTTATTGGACTGTACAGTGTTTTTGAAATTTTGTTTTAATGAAAAATCTGCTGAATAGTTCACGTGTTCGCACACCCATGTAATTAACTTTTGGTTCATATTTTGGTAAGTTCACTTAACCCTACTTGGATATTAGTTATTGTAATCTATGAAACCACTGAGAATCTTTGCATTAGTACCATCACGGGATACAAATGGAGAAATTCTCAATGTTGGACAAAAAGTCAGAGAAATATGGGATGATTCCTTGTCTTGCCTTCTCAATTCATTAATGCAAGCACACTACGTGAACAGTTAAGAACTTTTCACCATGAACAAAAATGAAACTTAGGGGACAACATTAATGGGCCGAAGCAAAGGGCTGGTGTGGGCCATATCTTTGATTGGACATAGCCCAAAACTTTAAATCTTTGATTGACTGTCACACCCATCCCATCAATAAGCATCTTTCTCTATGCTTTCATTGAGAGCGTCCACCAAAAGGGCTAGTAAAAGGTCAGGTAGAACTTCCACTTTGAGTAGTTCATCTAAGCTAGGTTTATTGTGCCTAGCTTCTTTGTAGGGCTCTAGGCTATTTTATCTATGGCTTATATTCGGTTTCTACTCTCCTACACTTTCTAGTTGTTTAATAATAAGAAGAAACTACGTAGCATAAAATTTACCAATACAAAGTGCTAAACACATATCTATCCAAACATTGGTATAAATTGATAGCCGTGAATCTAGGATGTATCCCTTATCACTGTTAGGCTTCTATTTTTGCATGTAGCTGATTTGATGTTACTCTGAAATTTCCACTCACCACTGTTCTAGGTTGTTTAATGTCAATTAGGAACACCTGTTAAATCAAACTAATCCCTGTCAAATTAAACAGATATAGACCAACTTGACCTTGTCAAACTGTTACCACCATAGATATATTGTTTTCATCCACCAAAAAAGTAGAGGCATTCTTTACTATTCTTTATTAATAATTAATGATTCCTTAACTTAAAATAGCACTCTTTACAAAATTTACCATTATTGTTGTTTGTATATTTGATAAGAAAATATATGTACATTTTGTGCAGTTAGAAATGCATAGTTTATGACAAAGAAAGTTTTTAAATAGTGTTACTTTAAAACTCCTTTATTAATTTTTAAATACAATTTTAAAACATGGGTTAAGGAAAATGAAATTGAAAAAAAAAAGTATTTTTAGAAGATCAATTAATCAATCATTAGACTATATGTCACTAAGTAAAAGGTTAAAGTCAGAGAGTTTCTTGTGAATTTAGATCGGTTAATTGGCATTCGTATTATTGTTTAATATGTGTAAATAAATCATGATATAAAAATTGAAAAAAGAAAAACATGTCTATGTATTTCCTTTTTATCAAGTATATATTGCTTTGCTTAATAAGAAAAGGAAAAGAAAATCCAGCTATAATCTCAACTACAACAATATAATTGTAGTTAGCAACTGTTATGAGAAATATTAGTTGAACCGCAACTAGGACAAAATATGATTGTGATAGCAACTGTTATGAAAAATATTACAGCTGTTCATGAAGACATGAACTTAGAAACGTAAGTTCCATATATATTATTAATAACACATTTTTTAATTCATTAATTCTCATAAATTTTGTTGAGTTAAATTTATTAGATCTAACCAATTTATATATAAAATTTATTACAAAAAAGTGAGATACGCATTGTTTTATAAATTATAATTAATAATAAAAAGGGTATTAACTTCATCATAAGAAAAGGGTTATCACAGTGTGAACATACAT